AAAAATCAGGCCTGTACGGGATTCGAACCACTGACCTCTGCGATACTAGTGCAGCGGTAGCGTTCAGCGCTGCACTAGTATCGCAGCGGTCAGTGGTTCGAATCCCGTAGAGGCCTGATTTTTTTTTTCCAGGTCTGATTTTCGCTATTGCATAAATAGCGCTCTCTACTGCGAGGATCGAGCATCATACGTATCTATTTTGATAGTTGAACGTGTTTGGCGTCTGACTTGTCTGCGCTCCCTGCGCTTGTTAGTTGCTAACCGTTTGGCTTTTGAAATTCGTTTTTTGGCCCCATGCTTGTATTGGGGGCCAGAGAATACAAGTGTCTGCTTTTCAAATTCTTTATTATCCATTATTCCTAGTTTTTTCATCATCTTGGCTGCCGAACTGAGCGATTTGTTCCCGGAGATTAACAGCTATATTTTTTTTTTACTATCTCGATCGTTACATTGTCTTGACTGCTTTCAGCTTGCGCCACGCGCGCTGATTCGATCGTACTACAGTTCTTAGCGTTCAGTGTTCCAGCCGTTTTGGCTCGTTTTCTTTTCTGTATTTCACGTTCATGTAAGCACACGATCGCATTCACTATTTCTTGCTCCGCGTTGTTACGGATTTGCTTTATCTCTTTTTTGAAATCCTCGTCCGCTCTTATTTTGGCCCTCGCCTTATATTTTAGGGATTCTAGGCAAGTTCCTTTTTCTTTGTGCCTTTGCACCGCCTTGATCGCGTTTTTGGCCTGGCTGATCTTGTCCTCCGCAGATAGGTTTTGGCTCGTTTTTCTTCTTTCCGTGGATGGGCTGTAGCGGCGACGTTTCTTGTACTGCTCTGTCCTTGGTCGGCTGGTGCTGTTCCGCCTTTGACGTTGTTGTTTAGGTCTTTTCCCGCTAGGCATTTGGTACGGAGAGATTTGTTCGTTATCCTCGGACTTACCGAGTAGATCATTTTCGCTGGCGGTGTCATATGCGGCTTCCATGTTCTCTTCGTTCTCAATGGCATTGCTTTGGCCCGGGGCGTTTAGTAGCCCGTCTGCCGTTAGAATGTCTTTCGACATTTTCTGTAGGTGGTCAGGAAAGACCGCGGTTTCGATGCTAATCTTGTGGATCTCGTTAGTTCCCGATTCACTGAATATACTGTTGCACCCGTACGCAATATAATAATAACACGCACACAAAGCATAAAATCATATCAAGAGAAACGCTACCTTGCATAAATCGGGCAAGCTACAGAAGTGAGAACAAACGAATACAACTTACATATCGGTCCCTATACGCCGGTGGCTTGAAACCAAAACTTAAGAAGTAAACTTAGGATGGACGCCGGATATGAACAGTGAACAGTAAAGGAGCGTACGATGCGACAACTAAAGAGAGAAAAACTATCCGAAAGGCTCAAATGGGACAAAGGCCAACTGTAACTGAAATGTTACGCAAACTTCAAGTCACGCAATTAAAGTCACGCATTTACATCCCAATTCACATTATTGNNNNAAAAAAAAAAAACATTTTTGAGGCAAAAGGACAACTGTACACCACAGGTAAAGTAATTCAACGTTTATTTATCAATGATTTATGTACATAGTCAGCAATATATCACTCTAGGTGAGGCAAACGGTAAATCTGGTACATTCACAAAAACAACGGTCGGCTACACAAACAGATTGTATGGGCCCCCTGTGCTTCAATGTGTACTTTGGTACTGCTTTCATTGCGGTCATTATCCCTAGCTGTAGACTTTTATTAAAGCACCCAATCATTCCTCTTGAAAGAAAGTAAAAGTTCTTAGTCCCATAATCATTTAAGGGATGGAACATCAGACCTTCAGTTTCCGTGCTGCGAGGCAGTAGTCTCCCTTACATGCGTGTAGAGAGGAAAGTATGTTTCTTTCATTTTGGTCCAGTCAGAGAGTTGCGAACTGTTGGATAATTTTATCTTTTGGCTCACTTCACTTCGCTTCGGTTCTTTTACTGAACGTTGAGTTTTTTGCCGGCCTTATCTGTTGTATGAAAATGTCGTTACATAATCCAGAAAGTAAAGAAACAAATTGTCATTGTTCAAATTAACGAGATGTAAAGGTTGATTGTTATTTTTACTGTGTTAAGTTTTGCCATTGATGAGACTATTTTTAATATCTTCAAAGTTATTTGATCCTATTTTGTGCGAATATACAATATATCATTTGGAAAATTTTATTTATCTACACCCGGGCTATTTTCACTTGTTACCAGAGAGTCTTATTGTGGCAGTCGAAAAATTTCACAAGCGAAGTTTTGTCCATATACGTAGCAGTACAATTTCCTATAGCTCTGTTCACAATAAACTGACTGATCAGTTGAAAAGCCAGTTGTGTACTTAGTTGTAAAGCCTTTGATTTGGAGTGAGGTGGTAACAAAAAGTAAGTTATATTTGAAAAGCAGCATGTATCATAACATGGCCATCCTTACCCTCATTCCTGTTCGAAGGCTTGGCAGCCAAGCACACAATTGTAAAATGGACTATAGTGACTTGTCCTAGTGAAATTAACACATGCCCATGCACATAGTGCTACTTTAATTAAGAAATAGTGATGAGGCTGAATTATTCTTACAGCAAGCTGTCGTCAAATATTCCACCAAGTTTGCTAAATATATATGCTCTCCATTAAAGAGATCAAATTATTAACTTGTAGAAATGTATGGATATCAGAGTGAGAATGGGTCTGTTTGTGCAGCAAAAGCTTAAGACTCAAAGTTAGTATATACTAAAACAGTGGATAGGGTTGCAGGCATTGTCTGATTGGTTACTCAAACTCAGAATATCCCATGCTTTGGTCAGCTCCGAGTATTATGCATGTGGGATTTGGGCCTTGAAAATATTGTCATTGTTGCAGGCCGGATAAATGAGTTGAAATAATTTTTTGCTTTATTATTTCACTATTTCAGTGTATACTAAAATAACTCTTTGCCTCAGTGTTTGTGGCTAGCAGGGATATTTATCATACTTTTTAGCTACTCAGTAATTAATTCTACCACTTAAGCCACCTTTACTTCAGGGAAGAATTGTTAATTACCACCTGCTTGTATGGCGTCATGGTGTTGTACAGTTTGAATTTGGCCTGAATTTTTTTCTTTTAATTCATCAGTCCTGTTGAGAAAGAACTCTTTCAATGAATTACTTATTTTCAGGTAAATGATTAAAATGCAAGGGCATTTGAAAATCCGATCCTATCACAGTGCAGACTACAAAGAATGCAGAGAGATATATTCTCAAGGGATGCAGCAATTTATCTGCGACATCACCCATTTCATCTTTTCAAATCTCTTGTGGTACATTGCCATGGTGACCATTTGTGCTGTTATGGCCTCTTTAAAGTGGTTTTTCTGGATTTTGTTCGCAAGTTTGTTGCTGTGTCTTGTTTTGTGGTTTCTTTTGTATGTCTTGGTCTACCTTAAATGCAGGAAGTTCATCAACCATTCCCTAAAAACAGACTTGATGGACATTGACAAGATTTATATGGCCAACAAAGGCTGTCACATGTGGGTTGCTGAATGGAATGGTAAAGTTGTTGGAATGGTGGGACTAGTTCAGAATGAAAACCTCAAAGCTGGAACATCAGAGCTTCAGCGGATGTATGTCTCCAGAACTTGTCAGAAAATGGGAGTCGGAAGTAAATTGCTTGAAGAACTTCTCAAATATTCCAAGGAGGAGGGTCTCGAGAAAATTGTTTTGACAACTTCAAGTACACAAGGACCTGCCATTAGACTCTATAGGAAGTTTGGTTTCAAGCTCATAAAAGGGAAAACTATCACTCCCAACTTCATCTTTAAAGATCCGCTAACAGTGATGTCTTTTGAACTTGTACTCTGATAGAGTCCAAACACAAGGTTGTAAAACTGCAGGTTGCTAGTTAAATTACACCCACATGTTTAATTTCACTTCTCAAGGCTATTTTGCTAAGTAGTAATTCAGATGATTTTTTAGGTATATGGAAAAACATTGAAGTTTACAATCATGTCAAATTTCTTTAAATAATTTGTAACCATGCCAACTTTCTTCTATTGGCCTCTCAACTTTCCTCCATATCCTTGCACCAGCTATGGCTCTTAGCTAAGCTGGCCTAATTCATTCATTCAATGACGCAGGGTAAGATTCGAATCAAAAGTTAATACTTTAACCCCTAAGAGTGACCAGAATCCAAATTCTCCTTACATTATCACTCCTGAGTCATCCATTAGGGTCACAAGAATAAAGAAAATAATCAGCAACTAAAAGCTCCTCCTGATTGTTGACTAATTTCTCCTTGTCAGCACCTTAGGAAATGTAGAGAGAACATTATGGGGAATATGCATACTGATGTTAGGGTGTAAAGAGTTGGACATGATAGGAAAATATGTCAAAATTTTCTGTTTTGATCCAGGTAAAACACATAATCAACATGGCTACACCTTATGGAAATGATTTTGATCCTTGTCATATTTTGAATGCTACAAGGAAATTATACACTTTGTCTGAAGGAGTATGTCTAAATGTAGCGAATCTTTGAAGAGGATCAATAAATGGTAGAAATGACTTTTATTAGGAAGGAAAAATAACGTATTTCTGTCAGAATTGTGAATGAGATTTCCCTGATAAAGATTTGTGCCTGGAAAAATTATGTGCTTTGATCAAGGCTTAGTTGTTCCCTTCGCCCTTTTAAGTCCCAGAAGTGATTAACCTGTAACTGCTCCCTGTAATATCCATACATGATCCAGCAAACAGGTAATGAGAATACTCAAACTTATCAGTTAGAAATTGTTACATTGATTGAACACCAAATTCTCGTAACCAACTTACAATGAAATGTGTAGCAGCTAGAGGGGGAATTCTTAATTCCTCCTTTAATTTTTTTTTTTTTCGTTACCTGTGAAGGGAGTTCCGGAGGCCTCCGTACATTTTCCTCCACCATTACACATTCCGCATGTCCACATTTCAATTTTTTCGATTTCATGAACCAGGGAAACCCACGCTTATAGTGCCACAAAAAAAAAAGTTATGCTTCTTTGGAACCCATAAGTAGTCAAGGTCATTCTTTTTACCATTTTTGTTTTTTGATTTAAACAATGTCTCTCCTTTGTCAGTAAAACAAAGTTCCGACCTATGCACGCCCAGTGACAGCTGTATTTAGATACCAGAAGAATTTCCGTTGATCAAAGGATCCTTTCTGACAATATTTAGATATTAATAGACCGTCAGAAAAGAACACTTCTGAGGTAGCGGAAATTCCAATTTCTTGTGTTTTTAGAAGACGCAGCAAACAAGGGGAAAAAATGAAGGACTCTAACGATTCAGCTGACTTTGGAAGGCAAGAGTTAGCAATCTTATTCCCCTTGAGTAGTTTGGCGCAGTTTTCGTCGAAACAAGTAAGGCAAGTATTAGTTTGACGAATTGGAAAAACTTACGTACACTTATCAAGCACTTGAAATATAGGGTCTTCTGAGAAGTAGTTACTTCAGTTTAGTGTAAGCTGAGTAGATTTTAATTGGCTAAACACTGGGGAAAAATTACCGTGAAGAAAACAACCAAATATTAAATTGTGATTACGCGATTAGGAGAGAGCATGTATTACATATTGATGTGTAGCTGTCTTTTAGCGGGTATGCTATTATGTTCGTACCTCGCAGACAAAACTTATACCTTGAAACTGATGTGCAACTTTGTCCTATTTAGTAACATAATCTGAGAGATAATTCTTGGTACAAATAAGTAGGAACATGAGATTGTCAAAGAACCTTCAAAAGCTGAAATGTACCCCTTTGACTTCTCTCCTCTAGCGGTTCCGAATGTCCAGTCAATGTGATAACATTAACCTCTAACTCCCAAGATCTGATTATGAATTCTTCCATCTAGCTGCTACACATTTTCTTGTAAATTGGTTACGAGAATTTGGTGTTTAATCAATGTAAAAAATTCTACCTGATAAGTTTGAGTATTCTCATTTCTTGTTTGCTGGATCATGTATGGATATTATAGGGAGAAGTTACAGGTTAATCACTTCTGGGAGTTAAGGGATTAAAGAAGACAACTTAGCCTTGATCAAAGCATATTGTCCAGGTACAAATCTTTATCAGGTAAATCTCATCCACAGTTATGACACAAATATACCATTTTTACTTTCTAATAAAAGTCATTTCTATCATTTTTTGTACCTCTTCAAAGATTCATTGCATTTAGATATACTCCTCTAGAAAGAGTGTCCATGCCTTGTAGCATTCAAAATATGACAAGGATCGAAATTATTTCCATAGGGTTTAGATATGTTGATTGTGTTTTACCTGGATTAATCACAGTAAGCTTTGGCATGTTTTCCTATCATGCTCAACTCTTTACACCCTAACATCCGTATGCATATGAGCTTGAAACGAAACTTCCTATAGAGTCTAACAGCAGGTCCTTGTGCAATTGAAGTTGACTACCCATTTTCCTCTGATCGCACAAATTAACTGCCCAAGTGAAACCGCTCACAGAGATATTACACCCGTCAACCTCAGCCTCACTTACTTGGGTGTGCGGTTACATATCCAACATGGTGCTGGGAACTTTAAAAAGAGTTATTAACAACTCCTCCCTGAAGTGAAGATGGCGAGTGGTAGACATTTACTGAGCCACTAAAAAGCATGCTAAATATCCCCCGCTTGCTATAAATAAATAAATAAATAAATAAATAAATACGTAAATTGAAGCTCCCCTGAGGGGCTTTTCAGCCACATTGTAATCTAAGTGCTTAAAAATCTACAGATATTGAGGTGAAGAGCGGTTTCCGCGTACACTGACAAAGTGAAATAATAAAGCACAAAAATGATTTTAACTCATTTATTCCTGCGACAATTGCAATGTTTTTAGGGCCCAAATCCCACATGCATTGCTCGGAGCTTACTTAAGCATAGGACATTCTGAGTTTGAGTAGCCAATTAGAGCACGTCTTCAAGCCGTTTCACGGTTTTAGTACATACTAAATTTGAGTGTTACGTTCTTGCACACAAACAGACCCATTCTCACTATGATATCCATGCATTTCTACACGTCAATAACTTGACCTCTTCAATGGAGAGCATATATTTAACAAACTGAGTGGAGTATTTGACTGGCAGTTTGCTGTATGAATAGTTCAGCCCCATTCCTATTTGCTAATTATAGCAGCACCCTGTGCACAGGCTTGTGTTAACTGATTTCCCAAGCAAGAGTCACAATTCAACTGATCAATCAGTTTATTGTGAACAGAGCCAGGAAATTGTATTGCTACGTTTGGACAAAACTTCTGAGATGGAATCTTACGAATGCCACAATAAGACTCTCGAGTAGCAAGTGTAAATGGCTTAGGTGCAGATTAATAGAATTCTCGTAAACATAAACCAAAGTATATCCAATGGACTTGAAGGCCTGCTCATTTACACGAGGTCCAACCTAAGCCACGGTTTTATGCAATCAGTAAGCCTCAGGCTTACTCAATAATGTAATATGTAAAAAAAGATCAATACGAAAAACTGTTGTTTATCTCACTTCATTTTATTATGTATTTTTTTTACGGAAAAAGATCAATAAAAACTGAATTTTTGGGTTGATGTAATAAGATAAATGTCCTTCAGTCAACTGTTAGCTTTCCGCTCTCTTAACACTGTTTACCAAAATCAATGTTCGGACTAAAGGTCCAGCTAAATTGAGGACTCTTTGCAACGACGCGGTTCTGTTATAGGGATAAGGGATAACTGCCCCCGAAAGATTAGGCATAGGAGATGACTGAACCTCCCCTAACAAGGCCTCACTTTTAGGCCATTTCTTCGACAATCGCTGGAAGACTCTGCTTCGTACGTTTCTGAGCAACGACAGATTTTAATACAAAACGTGTCGCTTAAAATCGCCGTGTGTTCTCGTCTGAAATGCTTATTTGAGGCTCCATAAATGAACGGGTTGATTGTGCTGCTTAAATAGACCAAGAAACCGTATGTAAGGTAAGCTTGTCTGGGCAAAGTGGGTTCACCTTGAGCTGCATCAATGTAGTCGATGATACACACTGGAAGCCAACAACAAGCAAAACCAACCATAACAGCAGCTAAAGTCTTAGTCACTTTGGCTTCTTCGACGTTAGCTCTTAGAACGTGGGGATTAATTTCCACGGAGAAAACTCGATTGGATCGTGACACGGTGTAGAATACTTTTACATAGCAGATTATTATTAATGTCAAAGGTGTCGCGATGTAGATACATTCGATGAAGACGGTGTATGCTATGTTGGTGTCGAATGTGTACAGGCACATTGCCTTCCCCGGTTGGAATTCGAAGCCACCATGACCGAATAAAAAGGGAGGAATGGAGCCAATGAAAGCGGTACACCAGAAAACACCGATGTAGAGCAGAATTCTTTGCCTTTTGACTATCACGATGTACCTCTCAGGTTTGACAACGCAGAAATATCGACTTACTGCAATTAGTCCCATGGTGTGCAACGATGCTAGTCCAAATGTAAACACTCCGAATCCATGGAATCGGCAAAAGTTGTCACCAAAGATCCACTGGCCACGATTTAAAGTAACAACAGAAAATTGCATACAGCGGGTGAACATCAGAATATCACTCACAGCCAACGCAACAACAAACATGTTGGAAAGTGTGCGGAGTCTTTGGTTTCGGTACACAGCATAACAGACGGACAAATTTCCAAGGAATGCTGCAACATTTATGATGCTTAACATGACTGTTTCAATCCACTGCAGATTTGAGTAAATCCATGATGAGTAAAGAACATGAAATGAGCACCGTTTGACAGCAATCAAGACAAATGAATTTGTCTGCTGCAAGTAATTTAAAAGCGGCGTTTAGTAAAATTTTCAGTG